GCTTTTCTTGAATGTTCAGACTCCTCAGTTTCCCTGAGATAACTAATAAAAATATATATTTCACCCCATGTGCCAGTTACACTCACAGACAGCTGGATTTGAACCCAGGACCTTTGTGCTAACCGCTGTGCCACCATGCTGCTATCATTTTAATGTAACTGTTGTCTTTAATGGAAGCGACACACCTCGTGTTGTCAGGTGACTGAATGTGGAACAAATGAAAGTTTCATTAAAACTCTTCATAAATAGAAACATAATTTCCATCCTTTCCTCTCGAATTCAAAAATACTTTTGTTTTCTTCACTATTTTTGTCTCTTTTTTTGTCTTTTTTAACATTTGTGTCAGACTGTTTTTATCATTTATCATTTTAGATGGTGTAGAAAACATTAAAAGTTTACCACCAGTGTATGCAAATTGTCTTTTATGTAACTCATACATTACAAATGACCATACAGCCTTATATAGGTTAAAAATATGACTAAACAGTAAACAAAACTCAGGTACATGTTGCATGACAAATGTTTATGCGACAGATCAGTTATAATTTGTACAGTCGGTGTGTAAATATTCAGACTTCTAAAACAGTTAATTTGTGATTTGTTTTTTCATTTAATGCCTTTTTGACTGGATTTAACTTGATTTTACACATTTTCTGCATCATAAAACCAAAACATTCAGTCTTTTCTTCCATCACTGGTAAACATTTACATTTTTCATTAACTGTATAGTTACTTTGTACGCATACACATAGACAGATTAAATTAATAATAAAAGATTTTGATGTAAAATAATAATTTGTGTGTGTTTACAATCAAAAACAGGACTGTCCTCGGAGACCAGCCTGATGTCAGTGCGCCCCAGGGCAGCTGTGGCTACAACATAGCTGCCATCACCAGTGTGTGAATGTGTGTGTGACTGAATGTAGTGTGAAGTGCTTTGGGGTCCTTAGGGACTGAGTAAAGCGCTATACAAATACAGGCCATTTACCATTTACCATGACGTCCTCTGCAGTGGACAAAAAAACTTATCGATACTTTTTCCTGCAGTTCTCCGGAGGCTGTATCCTCCTCATCAAAGTGACAGTGCATGTTTAGGCTCCAGGTTACAGCACCAGAACGTCTCCGCCCGTCTGTGCTGCGGTTGAGTTTATAAGAAGCGCCCCTATCTCCCAAAGTAAGAGTGAGGGGCGGAGAGTCAGGCAGGGAGGAGGGAGAGGAGGGAGAGTCTGCAGAGACTGAGTGATGCCAAAATGCAAAAAGTTGGAGGTGTAACATCACTGAGCAGCAAAATATGAAAGATGCAGTTAGAAATACTCAGCTGAGCCTCCCGTTGGGCTCAGTCTGGGTGACCCTGATCTTATCTCCATCATCTACCCCCCACATCCTCCCTGTGTGTCCAGCAGAAACAGACCTCAGGCTCTGTGTCCTGGCAGCACTGGTCATAATAAACCTCCCACTCGATGAATCATCAGATCAGAGCTCCATTTGTCCACTGACTCTGTAAATCACCCTGCAGGAGAAAGATAACTTCAAGCTTTTTATTCAGTGACTGTGAGCTCAGGACACAGAAAGAGGAGCTTTAAAAGGGAAACATGAAAGTCATATAACTCTTCCACTGATTGATGTTCACGTCAAACATGACCATAGTTTCTAATGATGACGCCACTGCAGGTAACAGAAGTCCCAGTGAGCTCAGGCTGATGAAACTCTCAGGTCATCACAGTGTTTTCTGCTCTTAGATCTGAGGGGATAAAAGCCCCGCCCACCTGCTTTTCAAACGTTCTTTTTAAGAGGGGCAGTCAATCAAAAGAAAGGAAGCTTAAAGGGGAGGAGCTAAAACGTAGAATAAGCTCCACACATATGATTTTGGACTGAGTCATGCAAAGCTGCTCTGGGAGAGTAAAGCATGAAGCCGGACGGGACTCGTGATCCCTAACAGTTTGTTTTGTGCTGATTACGAGACAATAAGTAAAGATGCCTCATCCTCAGTGTGTTACAGTGGGCTCTTTGGTGGGTGTCACTCATTTTGGACACCACACTATTTCTCTTTGTGATTCTTAATTATCTCATTGTTTCTACTTGCCTTACAAGAGGAAAAACTCCCACCAACAGCTGCAAGCAGCAAAGATCAAACCTGGGTTTCAGTGTTTAGATACTCTATCCAGGGAGCTTGTCATTTATCCACACAGAGCTTTTCCAGTTCTCTTGAGAAATGAGTAAAATAACTTCTTGTTACTCATTTCTGCAGAACAAGACGTCCAGTTCAGAGACTTAAAGGAACTGAGCTAAAGTCTAACAGGTAGTCACGAGCTACAGCTGCCTGTCAGGGTTAATCACCCCTGTGCAGTGGTTATGAAGTGGGAAACGCTGTAAACATGTTTATTTCTGGGAGTCTGTTGGGACGGATTCACGTTGGAGTGGACATCAGAGAAAATGAGCCTTGGAGCCCTCTGCTGCAGTCCTCGCTGTGCACATTTTCAATCCATCTGTGGATCTTTTGTGTCTCTTTATAGATGTTTTTTGCCTTTGTGGTCATCTGACACATCGGTTTATAGAGCGAGAGGCCACATCACAGGTTCCTCAAGCAGCAGCACACACAGTGTTTGGTCTCGTTTACAGATGTCTACACTAAACTCCTGCAGTCTCAAGGTCTACAACTCAAACTGGCCCTAACAAAGATATGAACACAACAGGCTGCTCACTGCGTGTGTGTGTGTGTGTGTGTGTGTGTGTGTGTGTGGGATTATCACTCAGATACCAGACACCGTGTAGAAATGTCTAACAGACCACAGCCATATTTGAGGAGAAGGTCAGAGGTCGTGGAGGTAATTCCCCGTCGTGCAGCAGCTGCTGCAGAGCTCTGAAGTCACTCCCTGTTTTCTGCCTGCTGCTCATTCACTTCCTGTCGTTACATCTGAGTGGATAAACTCTCATTTATTCCATCAGTGATATCATGGACAGGCGACACAAGATTAATTCCATGAAAAAGAAACGAGTTACATCACAGCTTAATCTACTGAGAAAAGTAACTTCTTAGAGAAATTTCACAGTCCCAGAAAGAAGCGTCCTTTGCTTTTATCTCACGTTTACATCCAGATGAACTGTTTAACATGGGAGTCTATGGGGACTGACTCACTGCTGATGCCTCCAGTGGACACCAGAGGAACTGCAGGCAGATCAGAGTCAGTTACTTCATTTCAAGCTGTGAGTCAGCTGGCTGCAAAAACATGTTTGTGCCTCGTCGTCGGTCGACAGCGTGACGGTAAAACCGTGTCTGATGGTCACAACTAGGTCGCTGATTGGCTGTTTGTTTCCTGCCTCCCTGAGGAGAACAGAAGATGCTGTTTGTGCGAAATGTCAGCATTTCTTTCACTGCAAAGTTGCACTCAACTTCAACATGTTGCTTAGTAACAGCTGGCTGTCAGCACCCACTCAGGTGTGTGTGTGTGTGTGTGTGTGTGTGTGTGTGTGTGTGTGTGTGTGGGCAGTTTGAGTGCTGGGCAGATTTAAAGGGAGAAGATGGATAAACAAAGCCGAGGAAAGGAGAAGAGGAGAGGATACACGAGAGAAAGAAGGCGAGGAGACGACTTTTCTTTCTTTCTCTTTGCAGACAGAGTGGCGTTTCCATGGTGAACACTATGGGATGCCAAGCTGGTTGCTGGGAGAGGAAGAGGAGGAGGAAGAGCAGGTCAAGGCTGGTGGATTTTTTCCAGCATTTCCACAGAGACTGAAGAGTGTGGGTGGGCTGGCCCTCTCTCTCTCGCTCTCATGGCACGTCACTGAGTGTGGGGGCGGCTGTGTTATTATTTGTTGTAGCAGGAAGAATGAGAGAAGGTTGGAGGTGGGTGGAGGAGGACAGCTGCTGCAGATGTCAGGTCCACGGGGACCTGACATCTGCCTGTGGTCTCAGTCGTGACAGGGAGGTGACTCAAGTCCACTGCTGATGTCCAGGACTTGTTTTTAGGAACTCGGGATCTGTAGCTCCTCTGAGCTGCTGACGGTGCAAAGCAGATTTGACATCACTTCAGCATGTGCTGCCGTTCATCGGGGCATAAACTGGCCGTGAACAGCCAAGGTCTTCGACCAGCTCACACTGAGTGTTTGACAGAGTCACGGTTAGTCGATGACAGGTGTGTCTGGGCGACACGGTACCTTCATCACGCCTGTTAAACCCGTCGTGTCACATGTGGGCCAGGAAACGCTCAAAAGTACAGATGCTTATCTGAATTATCTTTATTTTCAGTGGTCACCAAACATAATGACAGCAGCGTCTTTGAATTCAGGGTTTTTAAGCACCACATCTCTGCTCTCTGCTCTAACGTGTATGAGATGTGCATGACTGTAGCTAGGTGTGCTTAACAAAGTGTTTACATGTGCACAGGCTCTGAGGAGAATTAAGATCCTCATAAAACACGAACACCTCCTCCTCTCTAATCTCCAATTGTCTTTATTGTGTGTGTTTGTGTGTAAGGTCTCAGGGCAGGTTGGCATGACAACAAGCGTCCACGTCCAACAGTGTATCCATGGAGATTTGCTCTCTAAGCACACACACGCACAGCGTGGTGTGCGTCTGTAACTGCAGATATTTCCTGATGAACGCAGCCTTTAAAGGACCATTCAGCTGTTTTTATTTTCACATCTCACTGGCTCTGATTGGCCGTTGCTGCGGTGACGGCTGCTCTGGGGCTCCCGCTGCCTCAGGGGATTGTTGCTGCCGATCCGGGAGCCTCTCGCTGTGATTTAATTGGATCAGATGGCAGGTAATCGTATCAGGTGATGTGCTGTTATGTAATGACATCACTGCAGGGGCGTGTTTGTTTACATCACGCAGTGGTGTACGATGCAAATCCATTAATAACACACGTCTCACAAACCCTTTTGCGTCTTAGTTTAAAGGCCTTCGATCGTAGCCTGAAACTTTATCTTAGCCCGTGTGGAAACCGCTCAACGCAACTTAATGTAGAGGCCACAGTCGATAATGAACGTCATCGAGAAGTAAAGACGATGGAAGATATTTAATTCATACAAATCAGGCTTTGATGGTTCCAGTGTTTTTAGGTGCTTGCTGTACAGATGGAGACACAAAGCCAACATCCAACTTATTAAAAACTATAAATAAATTCTCAGTCACCCTCTGAATAAACCAGCAGCAGTGGTTTCATGACGTCCAAAGTCTTCATTCATTGAATCTGTAGGAGCATCGTTGACCTCTGACCTCTTCCAGGGGACGGTGGAGAAGCTGTTTGCAGGATCTTTGCTTCACTGGTCAGAAGCGAGTCTTGAAGCCGGAGAGCTCCAGCTTGTCGATCGACCTCTGGTTGGTGAAGGAGGCTCTGGTGATCCGGCTGGTGGGACTTCCTTCTTTGCTCAGCCACACCTTCCTGTAAAGGACCCAATGAGAAAGAAGAGAGTGCAGTTCAGGTTTATGGTACACGGGTCTAAGTCCTACACGCACTGCAGACAGAAAAGAGACTTTTGTTTTTACTGTGACGGCCGATGATCACAGCTTAGTGGTGGGTCATCGGTCACGGACGACTCTTCTGTGGTTGCTGCCTAAAGATTTCAAACATTCTTACTTAAACTTGCCAAAGATTCCCTGAGGTTCGTGACATTTTTACATTTCCTTCAGGATCAGTCTGGTTGAGACCTGCACCAACCAATAAAAGATTATTTATGTCTGCAGACACTTATATTGAGCTTTGATAGCAGCATCAACACCACTGTCCAGAAAGGAAAAGGCATCATGGCGATTCAGTGAGAAAAAAACAAGAAGAGGAAGAACTGGGGTGGAGTTGGGCTGCAAAGTGGCTTGCAGAGCAACTGTGAGCTGCTTACAGCAGCTTCTACAGCGTGTCCTACAGGCAGATATGGAATGGCTTTCACAGAGACGGCAGCTGATGGTGACTTGCTGCCAGAGTTCAGTCGGTCCACAGAAAGCTCTTCATTCAAGTCCAGTAAAAACTGGAACTAGTCGTGGATCCAGTTGCTTTTAATCACCACAGACTCTGATGTAATATGTACACTTGGGTTTTAAGGGGTATTTATTATTTTCTTCTTTTTTTTGGGTTGTATGGAAGCCCCAAACGCAATTTCATTGTTCTTGACAATGACAATAAATAAATAAATAAATAAATAAATAAATAATAAAGTAAAACTGTCTGCCTTTCAGAGCTGCTGTTAGGTTCACTGCACTAACCGACCGTCCGAGAAGGCTGAGCTCTGGTTTTGCTGAGTGAAGTTTTAGGATTTTATTTGGTTCTTACTGAGCACTGATTGGCTGACTTCAGTGTCTGTGTGATGCTCCTATATACAGTCTATGGATGGCACCTGGTAACTACTGCAGCTACTCTTAGCTGGTAACTTAGCACGCCAACCTCTCGTCCAAATACGGTCACGTCCGGCTCCAAACACCAACATGCTGACGGCCAAAACCATAAAGTTGTGAGTTCAAAATGCAGAGTCCTGAAACCGATGTTCCTGACCTCACTGCTCGAGGGACATAAACGTTCAAAACCAGAAAAGAAGGCCCCACCAGCCGACTGGGGGTCAGGCCTGCATCTGGACGACCAAAGGCATGATGGGTAAATAAAAACATTCCTCTGGTTTTACATAACGCTGGGAGTTTGCTGTGCAGCAGCTCTCTGAGCGTTTGGTCGAGTGCAGGCGTGTGTAGATTAGAGGAGATTGCAGGGGATCAGGGTCACGTCCATGTAGCTGCACCGACTGAAGGCGGGCCAAAGAGAGCGGGCGAGCGAGCATGAGAACAAGAGTGGGGATGGGGAGAGAGAGAGAGAGAGTGGCTGTCCTAGTTTTGCTTTATTGCCAAACTCTGTCTACAGTGGACCGATCTGCTCCATGACCCACTACTCTACTGTCCACACACACACACACACACACACACACACACACACACACACACACACACACACACAGCTTAACACTAATTCTCCAGCAGCTGGATGTTTGCTGGTTTCTAATCTGCTGCCATTTCTCTCTGATCCGCTCATGCACAGCTGCACTTCGACACTCGCGAGGACTCCATCTATGTCAAAAGCTCCGCCCTAAGCAAGATATTTCCAGTTATTACATCATAAGTGCATCGTTTCTGTCAGCACTGACCCTGTGCACGACCACCCAAAGGTCTCATGCAGCGAGTTATTACAGTTTAGTTTTTACTCTAAGTTTATTTTTTATCACTTTCACTGTTAGTTTAGGTCTTGGTGTTTGTCGGGGATCTGTGATCTCTCTAACAGGTAACATAGTGAAGGTGTTTGACTCACACTCATCAGACGTCCTCAATCTTGATATGCAAATACACAAAGCCTCATCAGACCAGCTGTGCAGCCAGCTGTGCTGCAGTTTACCACACGGAGAGACTAAAAATGGTTCCATTAAGTTGTGTTTCTCCCCCCAAAATCTAATCATTATTATAATCATTAATGCCATGAAGTGTTGAATTAGGACCCAACTTGCAAGAAGATGGAGGTAAAAGGAAAACTAATCCCGTGATGCAAGAACACGATGACCAGCGATGAGGGGATGACAGCGCTGCATGTACACAGGAGCAATCAGGGGAAGTGGACACAGCTGGGAAACCAAGGCACAGGTGATAATAATCACAGAACATGAGCCAGGAGGGCAGGTACGGCTACACACGAGAGATAAATGATTCCTGAAATCAGACGTGAGAAGCAATAACGAAACATGGAGAGGCAGACGTGCAGGAGGAAGAGACAGGAAGTTAGAACTCAAGACTGAAAACTGGAGAAGAAGCGGCACACGACGTGGTGCGGCGTCTGGCTGACATCAGGTTTTTCTTTAAACATTTTCCTTGTGGTGAAGCCTCAAGTGGAGTCGCAGGTGTAGTCCTTTCTGCTGCTCCGCCCCTGGGTGGAGTTTCTCCCTTTGAGCTGTCCTGCACTGGCCTGTTAATGGAAGCTGCAACTCTTCTCTGCCAGAGCATCGTTGCTGCGACCGCACTCACCTGCATGCGCTCTTTTATTTGATTGTTTTTGAAATTACACAAATATTATCACTTCTGCTTCAGTGACCCCAGATCTGTTTCATCGTCTAGGTTTGGTCTTTAGTTTATGTTGGCTACAGTGACCTTGTCCTCATGTACGGTATATTCCACACAATGCTAACAGGAAGTCAGCAGCACACACTGTTGCTGATCCGAGCCAAATAACTCTCTTTACAGGTTTGTGACAAAACCACAACATGTTCATCGACCTGATTATAACCAATGTAAGGAGACCTGGAAGGGTTTTACAGCGCCTATAAGTTAAATGTATTTTTCTAACGACAGGTAGCCTTGAATACAACGAATGACTCCCTAATGTGGGTCTATTCTGCTTTTCCTTATTTCCTGTCAAACATCTCCTGTTACAGTGGAAGTTTCTGATAATGAGCTCCGTGAACGTGCTGTAACCTCAGGCTGAAGCTCAGGCTGCTTTTCCCCACTGTTGGGTCTGTGGTTGCGCGTTAGGCAGCTCCTCTCGTGTAATTAAACTTTTTATTGCCAACTTAAGATACGACACCTTCCCGGCTCTCTTGGTCACTTCTAACAGTTTGAGGAATTTCTATGTGGAAAAACGTGGAGCAGACTTTCCAGTGTCCACAAACACCACCAAGCTCCTGGCTCCCAGGACACACACCCCGACACACACTCCACAAGCTAAACTAAGACATACTTTCTACAGTAACAGCCAACATGTGGGTGGGAGCCGCGGGTTTGCTCCTTTAAATCAGTGCCACATTTGCCCCAGCAACATATTTTGATTACACATAAATTTTCCATTCATTTGGATTAAATCCCATATTTCCCACAACTAACGCTGATATCCAGTGTTTTAATTCAGCAAACTGCAAAGCGTTTGTAGTTTAACGTCAGGATTTTCCCGCCTCTCTCTTTGTTTCCATTCCTTCACTTTCATCAGCTCGGCTCTGGAAATTTTTCTGCTCCCAGAGGAATAAATAGAAACCACCCACTGCTTCACCTCCCACCGCCAGCCTTCGCTCTCCATACTCCACACAGCCTAACGTTTGCATTGCTCTCCTTTCCTCATCTTTCCTTATTTCCCTCCTGTTCCTCCTGCACGCCTGGAGGAACAGCTGGATCCCGTTTCACAGGCCTGGCAGGAAGTGAGGTCGTGGTGAAAGTGGAGTCGACAGGAAGGACGTGAAAGCAAGTGTGTTAACATGGAAATAATAGTCGATATACAACGGAGAGAAGCTGTGTGTGTGTGTGAACTGTATTAACCCTGACCCTTTACAGTCTTATTGACTGTTAGATGTGTTTTTGTTGTAATACAGCCAATCACAGTTCCTCATGTGTGTAACCAGCCTGTAAACACATTTAATGCCTGCAGTTGCTTCTGTGTTCAGACTGAAGCGTCCAGCTCCTAAAATTTATGCTGAAGCTTGAAATGAAATCTGTTTTTGTGCCATTTCTTCCTCTGGGGACCCCGCCCGCCTGGCCCTGCAAGGAGCGTGTGTGTGTGTGTGTGTGTGTGTGTGTGTGTGTGTGTGTGTGTGTGTGTGTGTGTGTGTGATGTCAAGGAGCATCAGCAGATCCCTTGAGGTGGTGATGTCATCTAAATCGGACGTCCCCACCCAGTGACATCACTCCCCCCGGACAGGATGGGACGTTCAAAACAAACTGAGCCCGGCTTCAGTTCCAGATCTGATACCATTACGCTGCATTCACTGACAGCTGGGAACTCAGAGTTTCTAGTGTTCAACTGGAAAAACAAAGGCAGAAACATCACCAAAGGGAGCAGATATAAATCCTGTAGCTCTGCTTGAAGAACCCGCAGTGTGGTCGCAAGTATTTAATATTTAACAATTCACCTGCATGAGAACAAGAACTCTTTAAACTGCTCAAATCTCCTGAACCAAAGCGTCGGTGCCTGCAGATCTGCTGCCGCGACAGAACAGACCTGAAGCAGGTAACCGTTGTGTTGTGAAGGCAAAGGTCGCCATCTAGTGGCTGAAAAAGAGTATCACCGCAGCACTTTGCAGTGAGAGTTGCACCAGCCTGCTGTGGCGTGTCAGTGTGCACTCACATCTCCTCCACCATGTCAGCCGGACCCTGCACCTGTCCCACCACCGTCCCTTTGTAGGTGTTCTTCACCCAGCCGACCAGCCCGAGCCGCAGACCCTCCTTCTCTGTGTACTGGTGACGGGAAGAAAGGAGTTAATAAAATCCTTCAACCTGGATGTTAAACAAAGATTGATGTGGGACATAAAAACATTAAGTCAATAAAATAATGTATTAAAAAAATTGTATATACTTAATGTCTGTTTTGTGTGTTGGATAATCCTTCTAGTTTATTGGTTTATCTCCACAGAGGAACGATATGCAGCATGCTTTTAGTCATAAAGAAGGGGCAGCCAATAAAAACAGCTGGTTAGAGTTGACATAAAGGGGGAGGAGCTAAAGCAGGTTGTTTTATTTCAATGCTTTCACTGGGATTTTTTCCCCCACTGTAGCCTGATGAGTTTTGTGAAATCCACACCTGATCGTGTCGCCAGTTGTGTAAATTAATATGCGAAGTGTCACGGTCATGGATCAATGGTCACGACAGCATATTTATGGTGAAAAAACTGACCTCACAGCCGCTTGTTAGTCAGCGGGCTGCTTTCAGTTACTGTGCAAACGTAAGGCTGGACACCTGCAGTCAGCTGAGACTGAAGAAGTCACCTGTATGATGACGTAATGCTTCTCCCACTGAAAACGTCCAGATGAACAGAATCAGCTTGCTGGGATTTCCTTACCTGGATGATCGAGACACCGTTTACATGTGTGCAAAAGGCCAAGATGCATAGAAAAAGCTACGTTTCTGTGCAGACTGAGCCTCGAACTGAGCTGTGGGTTTGGTGAGGATGGGATTTGGTTTTTGGAAGCAGCAGGAGGTGATCGCAGCAAAAAGAGAGCTCAAAGGAAAACTCACCATTCGGAAGCAGACGCCTGTCAAAGTAAGAAGGAGAGAAAAGAAAGTCTGAATTAGTAGCTGCTATTTTTTAATAGCTTGTTTCCAAAAGTCACATTTGTGTTTTGTGCATTTTCTTGTTTACACAGCCTAACAGAGGTGGTCTGTTTGGGCTTTTGTGAAGTTGGTGGCATTCATGAGGCTCTAAGAAGTGAAAGTGAGGCCAGCCCAGCTTGTTCCTAAATTAAGCAGCAGTGGATCGTTTTACAGGCTCTCAGAGGCCAACAGGTCTAAGAAGCAGAGGAAGAAAAGGGAGTTAAACATACAGACCCTGGACGTGACCGAAGATTTCAAAGTCCACCGACACCAGATTGCTTCCGGCTGAGTCATCAGCAGACATCCTGAGAGACTCGAGCTCAGAAATGTCCCTTTAACAGAAGAGCTCTGCAGCGTCTCCGTCCGCCTCCTCACCACATGGTCATGTCGTCCTCCTGAGCTTTTTAAAGGAAAATCTCACCACCAGCTGAGGAGCTCATGGAACATGTAGTCCATTAAAAACTACAAACAGTAATGATGGGCAAGTGTCCTCCTGTAAACTGATCAGATCCTTTGAAATCAGCAGTGACAACACCTGCCTGGTGTTTGGTACTTAGGGGACACGACTGAGAAGATGAAGGCTGCACAGAGGGTCATTAACTCCACTCTGAACGTCACTGGCCTCTCCCACCCCTGGAGGCCATCGCCATAATGGACTGTTAACAACCACTATCCCCCCACATCTCACCCCTGCCAACCCACCTCACCACTCTGAGCCATGGTCAGAGTGACCCTCATCACTCAGGACACTCACACAAAGACTGTATTCAGACAAAGTCCTTTCTTGGTCTACACACCTTTGGAACGGGAGTCGTAGGTTTGACTCCCAATAGGCTAGACCCTCCACGCTAACCAAGCCCACCTCGGACATCAGCGAGAGACATAAATATGAAGCCATACCAGCTCAGACGTTGCCCGAGGTCTGTGTCAGGTGTTGAGGAACCAGGACGCCCTGATGAGAAGTGGGCTACTGGAACAAGACGGCATCGGTGGGCAAGAGATGAAAACAGGGCGCTGGTGGATGTTACTACACCAGTAACCCCAGTGGAAGGGTCAACATGTCAACTGGCTTCTGCATTTTGCCAGTGAGGACAGAGAAAGAGATCTGACATCACATTTAAGCATTTAAGCAGCAAAAATCCAGTTTAGGAATGTGAGTCAGTTCAGACTCACATTCATAGAAAACAGCAGCTCGTCAGTCCTGCTCCTGAAGGACGCTGATCCCAACTGGAGCCAGGGGGTCCGAATGTGCCGGCACATCCAGTGCAAAGAGCACGGCACAACACACAACACACACATGTGTGCGCTTGTCTTGACACTCGCTGACATGATGCATTCTGATTCTCTCACAACCAACGCAAACGTGTCCTTACTGTCCAAAAAGTCCTCACATCAGTGTTCCTACAAAGACCGATGGAACAGTACGCACACACAGTCAGCTCGCGACCTCGGACATCATCAGGGGAACGCAGAGGTCATCATCCTACACATGACCTTTAACCCCCTAAAATACAGATTTATGTCAGACAAAGATGAAACTCTAACAGTTTAACACTAACATTTACATCTCATTAATTTAACGAGTGTTCGCGGCAAACAGTCGTTATCCTGTCTTCCTTCTCTCACCCCAACCAATCACAGCAGATGGCCCCGCCCCTCCCTGAGCCTGGTTCTGCCGGAGGTTTCTTCCTGTTAAAAGGGAGTTTTTCCTTCCCACTGTCACCAAAGTGCTGCTCATAGGGGGCAGAGATAGTGTCTGTCTCCTGAATCCAAACTGGAAGCTGGTTCCACAGAAGAGGGGCCTGAAAACTGAAGGCTCTGCCTCCCATTCTACTTTTAAATACTCTAGGAACAACAAGTAGGCCTGCAGAGCGAGAGCGAAGCGCTCTAATAGGGTGATATGGTACTACAAGGTCATTAAGATAAGATGGGGCCTGATTATTTAAGACCTTGTATGTGAGGAGCAGGATTTTGCTGTATTTCAGTATTTGTGGTTTTCAGTTGATGTTGAAAATAAAGAAAGTGAAGAATAAAACGTCTGGAATGACATAAAAAGCTTTAACAGTGACATTAACGTAGAAATATGTAAAGAGGAAATGGATTCTCGTTTCTGCTGTGCCAGCTCTGCGCACATTTAGCAACACTTTACTTAATTGAGGACTTTCTGCAGATATTATGGTTCATAATCACCTTTCATTATAATCCTCTTTATGATTTCTATACATTTCTAAATAAAACAAACAGTGATGATAAAACTGTGTTTAAAAGTGTTACATTTGATGTTAAACACATTTTTTATTTCATTCTTTTGTGTAATATTTGAATGATCTTTCATTTCAAACGTGTAAAGCAGTGATTCTGACTGCAGTGTTTGAACGCTGTGATAACAGATGCATTCCTGTGCTCGGGGTTTTCTGGCTCTCTCGCTGCTCTTCGTCGCTCTCCCTGCCAGGGGCCGGTGTTGTGCTGACAGCTGAGGACTCTGACATGAAGCCAACATGATCATTCTTGTATTTTGCTCGTTTGTGTTGTTGTGTTTGCACATCTCTGTTGCTTGTGGGGCTCGCACACAAGAATTTCACTCGCATGTGCTGTGCCAGTGTGCCTGCACATGTGATGTGACAATAAAAAGTGATTTGATTTGATTTGATTTGATCTGTGCTGTAAAAATATTTACTGTACACGACCACACTGAGCGCGCTCCGTGCAGCCCGGCGGCGTCTGTAGCGCAGCCAGGCTGTGTCTGGTCTCAAACCGTAACCGGCACCGTTTTTAAAGGATGCCGTCTGCGTGCAGCGGCGAGGCTCTCGGGTGCTGCTGCCACTCTTTTGGACAAAAGCTTTGTGATACTTGACCTGACTTTTTATATTTCACTCTCAGGATAATGATACACTTTAAAGGGGAAATAAATACATGATTAAATAAGTCGTTAGTATTATTGTCTGATCGACTGTCTCTCTTTACTCATCTTCAGCTCACCCTGGTCACTCAGAGCTCCATCCAAGCCTCCGTCTTCATCTTCAACACCACCATCTAGACTCGGGGTCTGGTCCTAACTCCCATCACTGCTGGGATTCTGATCACAGGTCATCACAGAAGAGCGGTCATTGTTCCACATGGTCTCTCCGTGTTCATTTGGTCTCTGATCACTTTCTCTGAAATCACTTTTAAGGTCTCAGAATAAACAGAAATACCACCTTAAATGCTCCCACAGGCGCCCGCCTCATTTTTAGAAGCTGAGAGTCGTTCAGATTATAAATGTGTGTCTGGATTCACGTACACTCGTGCAACACAAGATGTCAGCAACGCAACTCTGAGTAACTCAGTCTGAGAGGAAGCATGGCTTCCCCCGGTCGTCATGGAGACGCTTCAGTGGTCATCACATGATCTGAATTTCTTGTTTCTGGAAAAGTAAAGATTTGTCAGGCTGAAAGAGGACACTGGACACACACACTCCTCACACACACAGTGTGTGAGGAGTGTGTGTGTGTACAGCACCATTGTTCTCTTTGAGTGCGACAGTTTGTGTGTTAATTTGTCTGCATCTGCTGTGTGTGTGAGACTAACTGCATGTGTCCACTTGCCTTGTGTGTGTTTGTGTGTGTGTGTGTGTTCATGCTGGTCTGTACTCTGTGTGTGTTTACACTTGGATGAGCCTTCTGTTCGGCGTGCAGTCGCTCTCAGTGAGCTGGGTTTTTAGGTCGCAGTGTTCTTTCTGCCACAGCCGTGTGCACACATGCACGCATGCACGCACACACACATGCACACACACATGCACACACACACAGTCACACACACATGAACACACACACACAGTCACACACACACACACACACAGGAGAAGATGTTGGGCGCTATTAGGCACTGGGCTGCCGAGTTAGATGGGGATGGGAGCGGTGGTGGTGGTGGTGGTGTGTGTGTGTGTGTGTGTGTGTGTGTGTGTGTGTGTGTGTGTGTGTGTGTGTGTGTGTGTGCTTAGGGGGTCCCAGAGGTCTTGTCATGCATATGGGCACAGAGCCAAGCTGAGAGCCTGCGAGTGTGTGTGAGTTTGTGTGTGTGACGCTGGAGGGTTTAAAACCTCCACTGCTGTGTAACATGTCGACTCTTTTTAGTAATGTCATCCAGTACACACACACACGCACACACGCACACACACACACACTCGTGAAAGCTGGTGAAGTCTTTCTGATTCGTTGTGACTCAGAGCTTTAAACTTACAGGACCTACATTTCATACTGTATGTTACATTCATCGAGCTCACGTGTTTGATTTTAAATGCTTAACAAAAATTCAATAAATAAAATAGAACATATGTTGTCTTATATTCATAATTATTGTACACAGCCATCAGCTACGACATTCAAACTGGGCACCTGGTAGTGGGTTTGTCCCACGCCTGCTGCTAAAACCATCAGGGCGAGGAGTCCACAGGTGCTGAAGGTGTCCTGTGGTGCCAGATAAACAAGATGTTTGCATCAGATCCTCATCAAAGTCGTGAGTTATCAGAGCAAAGATCGAACGCTGTCCCTCTTAACCAGAGTGAACACCCTGGCACTAATTTCCAAGTTTATGAGCGGGAACTGGACAAATACAAAATTCAATTCAATTTTATTTACACAGCGCCAAATCGCAACAACAGTCGCCTCAAGGTGCTTTATACTGTACAGTAGACCCTACAGTAATACATACAGAGAAAAACACAACAATCATATGACCCCCTATGAGCAAGCACTTTGGTGACAGTGGGAAGGAAAAACTCCCTTTTAACAGGAAGAAACCTCCAGCAGAACCAGGCTCAGGGAGGGGCGGGGCCATCTGCCGCGACCGGGCATTTAAAAGGAGGAAATCGCTCAGACACTCAGAGAAAGCTTTACAAACACTGAATGAAACTCATCCTCTAAGTTAGGAGACGGTCCGACGACCATAAAGATGGTGGAGATTTGTCCGCTTTCTTTTACCTAAAATTACACCACAACTAATTTAATGATAACTGCATATGTGTTTAATAAAGTTGCCATGGCAACATGACGCAGTTGTTGTGTAATCTGGGAAGTATATTTGGTGGTCAGTGGTTAAATAAATTCGTTATCTTCTTTCTTATCAGACACAGAGATGAAAACAACAGTGGGCAGCGAGTTAATAGACATGTTTACACTCAGATTTATCAATCTAATGAAAAAGGGAAATTTAACCGAGTTACTGGTTTTCACAACAGTCCAGCAAATGACATCTATTTTGTGCTGTAGAACAAATCATGTCTGTGATTAGCAGCAGTCTGAACACTCAGACTTTAAATTCCAACAGCTAACCAATAAATCAATCAATAAAATTAGTAAAGTCACTCACTTTCAGAAGAGGAAATGGATGAATAACTCAGGTTTTCCATTGGGCCACA